TTGAGCTACTGCAATTCTGCTTCAATCATAGAGCACAGAGCCTTCTTTGATGCAAGCATACCATACTGGACGGTCCTGTGTCAGTGTCTCCCATGACTCAATGTCTCCACAGTTCTTCAGAGAGACCTTGTGAGTGTCCTTATATCACTTCTTCTGACCTTTGTGTGAGCACTTGCCTTGTGTGAGTTCTCTGTAAAATAGTTTTTTTAGGCAAACATATATTTGGCATTCAAACAATATGGCCAGCCCATCAGAGTTGCCCTCTCTGCAGTAGAGTTTGAATGCTTGGCAGTTCATCTTGAGAAAGGACCTCAGTATCCTATTCCTTATCTTGCCAGGTGATCTTCAGAATCTTCCTAAGACAATTCAAAAGGAAGCGATTCAGTTTCCGGACATGGAGCTGGTAGACTGTCCAGGTTTCACAGGCATGCAACAACGAGGTCAGCACAACAACTCTGTAGACTTTCAGTTTGGTAGGCAGCCTGAAAGCTCTTCTCTCCCACACTTTCCTTTGGAGACTTCCAAACACAGAGCTAGCTCTGTCAACATCATCATCTATGTATATATCCCTGAAAAGTATACTCACAAGGTAAGTGAAATTATCCACAGCATTCAAATTTTCTACATTTGCTGTAACCGATAGTTCCATGTGTGGATGGTACAGTGCTGGCTGGTGGAGAGCCTGTTTTCTTGGTGTTAATTGTTAGGCCAAAATTAGCACAAGTGGCAGAGAATCAATCCATACTCTGTTGCATCTCACCCTCAGAGGCAGCATTGAGTGTACAATCATCTATGAACAAAAAGTCCCACACCAACTCTCCCTCTACTTTAGTCTTGGTTGGTAGCCTTTTCGAGTTAAATAATTTGCCATCAGGGTGGTAACTGACCTTGATGCCATTTTCATCCTTATTGAAAGCATCCAAACAACATCTTTGAAAACATCATGTTAAAAAGCATGCTTCACGTAACAGCCTTGCTTCACTCCATTGGTGACTGGGAAAGCATGAGAGCATCATCCATTATCTAGCACTGGTACAAACATGCCATTGTGGAACTGGTATATAATACTGATGAAATTCTCTGGGCAACCAAATTTTGCCATAATCTTCCACAAGACCTCACCACTGATAGTATCAATCAGCGATGTGATGAAAAGGGGCTAAGGACTCAAGGGAAGAGGACAGTGGAATTTAACTGGTTTACCAAAGGAGTCAAGATGGGAAAAGAGCACAGATGTGATAGCCTGGGAGAAAACTGAGGGGTTGAGGGATTGAAGGTCACAGTGTAGGTAAAGAGCAGGATTTGGTAAGGGAAGGCAGAGGGAGAGATGGAAAGCCAATAGGTTATAATCAGATAAGAGGATTTTGGAATTCTTGACTGTGGAGGTGGCACATTTGTGGATGATGGCAAAATCATGGTATGATAAGCTTTGTGTGTGGCTGAAGTAGGTCAGAGGAGGAGGAGGTCATGGGAAGTGACTAGGTCGAAGAACTGAGCACAATTGCAAATCTTGTCTTCTAGCCTAGGAGTAAAAGGGATAGGTAAAAAGAAGTAGGCAGGGCAGAGATAGGAAAACACAACCCTCATACATTAAGTTCATTTAAAGGGAATTTTAATGTCTATTGTGCCGAAAGCATAGGCTTAAGGAGAAAGTTTAGATTTCATTTCTTTAGAATATAAGTTGAAGTAGGTATTGTTTCATTCTTTGTCTGTATTCCCTGAGCCTAGCATAGTGCCTGGCATAGTAAGAGCTCAATAAATACTTGTGGACTGATAGATAAGGGAGGGTCACTCTTCTCCAGGTGTCTTCTGATTAGAAAAAAGCCAAACAATACAGTATATATATATATATATATATATGGGACATCTGATGATAATATTTGCTAGCCTGACTTGCTTTAATCGGTCAGGTTCTTTTTTTTTAAATAAAAGCACACTAACCCCTTTCATGTGTATCTTTCTTTAAAGTCTATAAAGTGATTTCACATGTTATCTCATTTGACCCTTACAACAAGGAACATAGATATTTATTTATTCATTCATTCACCAAATATTTACTGAGTATTCACTATGTAAGTATCGGTTAAGATGGATAAATATGATAGCATCACTGTCCCTTCCCTTAAAGTCTTATAAGTGAGATGGAACATTGACAAAGCACTAGAACAAAAGATAGAAAGTGAAAATTTGATATGAGAAACAACATGGCAGGAGTTCTGACCCAGAGCTTAATACATAGTGGGGCAAAAGGGGAACCTTCATGGATGAGGTGGCATGATGGTGGGTAGAAATTGGAGAAGAAAAAAATGGGTGTGTGTATGCAGGTGTGTGGTCTCCCTGAATGGGAGCTCTTGAGCCAAGGTAAGGAGGCTAGAAAGAGTAGGGATTATTTGCAGATCAGTGGGGAGTCCCAATTGGCCAGAGCAGACAAAGCGATCTTCTTCATTTTACAGAGGAGGAAACGGATGTTCACAGAGCTTGTGGTTTGTCTGAGGTCACATGGGTAGGCAGGGACTCAAAAACCCACTCCCTAGTCCTCTTTTCACTATCTCTTCCCTGTATGGCCCATGTGAAATCAGAGCAGTAAGAAGAATCATGAAAGTTTGATTGACCCATTATGGCTCCTAAGAAAGGCTAGATAGAGCAAGCCTATGGCAGACACTTCATGTAGGAGAAAGAACATTGGATTTTGAATCGGAGGATCTGGGTTCTCCTCTGCCTTGGGTCTCATGTCCTCCTATGGTAAGAGAGGAAGTTGGATTAGGTGGCCTCTGAGGTCCCTGGCAGGTCTCTCACAGTTTGAAGGTTGCAGCTTGCTTTCTTCTTTCTGGTTGTCATCACAGCCCAATTCCTTTTCTTGGCTTCATTTTTATTCAATAGATATTTAATAGCACCACATTGTATGAGGCAAAGGGCTTCTTCTACAAATGCAGAGCAACTGTTTTGTAATTTATAGTCTTAAGAGAGTTGCCTTGGGGCTCTGAGAAGTTAAGGGACTTGCCTAGGTTTATAAAACCAGTACAATACATAGTCCAAGTTAGGAACCCCTGACTGCAAGTCGGGGAGACCTAAATCTGTGTATGACTTAATAGTCAGACATACTTGACTTGCAGTCAGGGCTCTTTATCCATCAAGTCAGGGGTTTCTAACTTGGAATATGTATACTTCTGGGGGGGGGAGAGAAGCTTATCAAAGGGGTTCAAGAAATATTTGGTAAATAAGCATATTATTCAATTGAAGTTTAGTCTCATTTCTTACATGCATGTGATCAACACTAGAATTTGTTTCCTTTTGTACTTAATAGGAGGTTCACGGAGAGACAACAGTGTATGGGGATGGAAGAAGTTTGGGAAACCCTGCACTAAATCATGCTGCTTCTCATTATTTTTATGCATACAAAATATTAGAGGAAAGAGAAGAGAGAGTATATGCCTGTAACTGGGGGTTGGGGGGGGGACGACAGAAAAAGCCTCATGAAGGAGGCAGCACCTGAGCTATCCTTTAAGAGATGGTACTGATTTTTAAAAGATGGAGGAAAGACATTCCAAGGCTAGAGGACAGTTTATGCAAAAGACAGAGCTTACAGCTCTGCATCTATGATCCTATGACCTGGGTTCAAATCCACTCTGTTGCTTACTAGCTTTGTGACCCTGGGCAAGTGACTCATGGTCACCGGGCTTTCTAGGTGGCTTCCAAGGCCCCTTCCCACTCTCTCTGATGGCTAGATTTGAGGCAGGAGAGAGCAGTCAGGAGGCCATCCAGGTGAGAGGTGAGAAGGGCAGCCCTTTGGGAAGGCTCCAGTTAACGGTTCTCTTTCCATTAGTTGTCCTGGAGGAGAGGTGGCTAAGTTTTCATAGAACAATCGCCATTTAACGGGCGCTGGATGGCAAGAACTCGGGAGATTCAGCCCCAGGGTCTACCGCCTGGCCGGGACCATGACCGTGACCCCAAAGTCAGACAGACCCCGCCCAACAGGGCGTCGCCCTGACTTCCCGTCGACCCGCCCCGCCGAAGGAGGCGGAACTTCCCCTCCCGGAAGTGATCCCGGAGCATCAGGGGAACTGGGACCCCTCTGTCTGTGTGTCAGGGAAACCCTTCCGGGCGTGGGGGAGGACTGGCCAGGCTAGGGCAGGGCCGGCGGGAGCCAGGACGGAGCTGAGGGAGGTGGGCTCGGTCCGACCGACTGACCGTTCGAGCCGCCGAGCCGGGGTACGGGCCGTCGCTGCCGCCGCCGGTCGGCCCCCTCCCCCATCCCCTCCCCCTGCCCGCCCCCTCCCTCCCTCCTTCCCTGCCTTCCTCTCTCACTCTTTCTCACCCTGCCCCTCCGCCAGCGACCGGGCAGACGTCCGCCAGACCTGGTCGGACCCGACTGGACCCGAGGCGGTGGCGGCGCTGACGGGGCGGACGAGGAGCGTGTTCCCCAAGGTAAGCAGCCGCGGCCCTTCTCTACCTCCCACCTCCATACCCCTCTCGGCAGGCCCTGGGGGGAGCGGGGGCGGGCGCGGGCAGGGCCCCGGGGAGAGGGGGAGGGGGGAGGCGGCCTAACCCGGGTCCATCTCCCCTCTCGCAGGCCGGGGCCGGACGGGAGGAGCCAGCCAGCGAGCCAGCAGCCAGCCCCGTACCTCCAACCTTGTCAGCCTCGGAGGGGGCGGCGGGAAAGGAAGGCTGGGCGCCCGGCCGGCGGCAATCCCGCGGCGGCGGCAGGAAGCCGACCCGGGCTCGGGCCCCTTTGTGTGGAGGCGGCAGCAGTGACCGTGACCATGCCCATGCCCCCCCCCAGCAGCAGCTGAGTGAGCCCCCGTGCTGCTTCTCCGGCTCCCCGCCCCCACCCGCAGCCCTCGCTTTCTGGAGTGGGGACCACTGGGCTCCTCCTCCCCTCCTCCTTCTCCTCCCCCTTCCCCCCCCAGTACCCACCCACCCTCTCCCGTGCGTCCCGTCCTGCCCCGTCCCGTCTAACCGCCGCTCCTAGGAAGGGCATTTCCAGCCCCCCCGGCAGGCAGCCAGCCGCACCCACCCCCACCCCTCCTGCTCCTCCTCCTCCTTGCTCAGTCTGCCTGTTCCTGCCCTGCCTCGCGCTCTCTTTCCCCCTGCTGGGCTGCCGCCTCCTGTCTTGAACTTCCTCATCTTCCCCCTGCTAGGCTAGGCCCTCTGCCTCTCAAACCCCAACTTGAGTTGGCAGATTTCCGCCCACCGCCCCCACGGCCTCCATAGCTGGTGGAGCCCCTTTTTATGCTGCTGAGAGGGAGCTGGTGAAGGGAAGACTGATGAGGGAATACAAGGTGGTGGTGTTAGGGAGCGGAGGGGTGGGTAAGTCTGCCCTGACTGTGCAGTTTGTCACGGGCACCTTCATTGAGAAATATGACCCCACCATTGAGGATTTTTACCGCAAGGAGATCGAAGTGGACTCTTCTCCCTCTGTACTGGAAATCCTGGACACCGCAGGGACTGAGCAGTTTGCTTCCATGAGAGATCTCTACATCAAAAACGGCCAAGGTTTCATCCTAGTTTATAGCCTGGTTAACCAGCAGTCTTTCCAGGTAATAATGATGACAACAATGGCCCACATTTCCTTAGGGCTCAGAGGTTTTCTCAGGGCTTTCTCCAGGACTTGCCTGGTGAGGTGGGTAGAACAGGTGTTGATTATCGTGATTTTACAGAGAAGGAAATGAAGATCATAGAGGTGAGATGACTTGCCCACAGTCACACAGCCAGTAAGTGTCTGGAGTGGGATCTTGTCCATGTCTCCTAACTCCAAAGCTAGCATTCTTTCCACTATCCCACGGTGCTCTTGAGTTGGATTTAAGTGGATCGTATTGATCTTAACACCATTTTGGTGCCTGCCTTTTATTTTTGAAAGGTCTGACTCTGGAAACTCTTGAGATTCCGGCTTGCCTAGAGAATTGCTCCCTCCCCATATTGTCTTTTTGTATACTATAAAAGTAAAAAGTTGCCCAGACAAGTTTTGCATAGTTTCTGGAAAAGCAAATGGAAATAAGAAGTAGGCTAGTTTGGGTATGATATTGCACCAAAGATTGGAGGGAAACAGCACTTTCTGAAATCCCTTGTAATTTTAATATGTGTTTATCAAGTAGGTATTTGGGGGCTTGGCAAATCAGAGATTTAATAAGTCATTCCCGGGAGGTAATGGTACTTAGAAGAAAAATAATTTTTGAACCCATTACTAATTGTGCAAGCAAACCTTTGAATTTTCCATTCTCTTATGACCACTTCAGTCTCAAATCCCTGATCAAGAAGAGATCTAACCCCTGGATTAGTGTAGCCCCTACCCAGCCTCCAGGCATTTTTCTTGCTTGAATTCTTACCCAGAAATTGCCTGAGTCTGTAGTGTAGTGAAACTCTTGGGAGTGGGAGGGTGTGAATGAAAGTGAAGCAGCAGAACAGAGAAAATTAACAATCAGTCAAAAGGATGAGCAAATCTAAGCTGCTTTTGATAACAAATGGACCTTAGTGGTGGGAATTCAGAAAACACTGGACATAATTGCAGATTTCTCATCTTGACTTTAGTTGAGATGCTGGGCTAGGCGTAGGCCATTTTCTTTGGTGAGCCCTCACATCCCTACTGGAAGGAGTGACTAGGGCTTAATACTATTTTAGAAGATTTACAAACATGTAACTATAGTTTGAAAATGCAGGATAGTGGTATTGACCTGCATTGACATAGGAGATGGAATTGTTTTTTTCTGCATTTAAAGTATTGAGTTAATACTGTTTATTCAAAGGACATTAAGTGCTTTATCCCGGAGGAATTCCCTAATTTCCTTTTTAGTACATTAGTACTGTAATGTCGGGTTGAACTTTACCAATGGTAGCAGCTTAATAAAACGTGATTTACTTTTTGTCTTAGAGAAATTAAGTATTGGTGATAGGCCAATCCTTATTCAGTAAGTAATTGAATCAGATCTATTGTAATCAGAACTCCAGTATCAGATGCATTATTTTCAAAGGGTACTAAAGGTGCCTTTTAAATGTACTTTCTGGGGAGTAGGGGGTGGGAAACCTTCAAAATACAGTTATTAGCTGTGTTTCTTGAGATTGGGAATTTTTGTTGTTGTTTTCATTATATCCATTTGCATTTCACCCTACTAGATTATAAGCTTCTAGAGGCAGGAGACCATACCTTGTACATAGCAGGTGCTTAATAAATGTTTGAATGGAAAAAATAATGGACAATTATCCTATCACTTTCATAGATTTATTGCATTTACTGTGTAAAGGACAAATCTCTATTCTTCCCATAGCTAGCATTCTCGTTGGTGTGGGTAAAAAAAAGCTCACCATGGGAGAAAAGTGATTCAGTCTGTAGTGTTATAGAAAATTATATTACACATTTTCCTGCTAACACTTTTAAAACCTCAGTATTCTTTGATATTGACCCCATTTTTAGCCTGATTCCCAGATAAAGGGAATGATTCCCAGTCAAGGGAAATTTTCTTTTAAAGTTACAACTTTTTGAATTATGGACAGTCAGGACCTTTGGAATGTTCAGATTAAGGCTTGCCTTAACCACACTCCTTCCCTCCCCAAAAGGATGGCTTTGGGGGACTTCTCTAAGATATTTTAAGATGTTTGCTTTTCCTGGGATAAAGGAATGTATGCAGTAGGCTTTTTAAAATGGAACATATTTAGGTGTGTTAATTTGGGTCTGGTATATCTAGAAGCCCAAAGTAAAAGCGTTCTTGTCTAAACATTTTCTCCCAGGCACTCTGAGTAAATGTTTAGGATCGGGAGTGTATGGGGCCTACAAGCCTGAACTGGGATAACAGGTGTTGCAAGGAATGATGGCAGCAGACAGATTGAGGGGAGATAGGCAACTTCTCCCTGTGCACATAAATGAAATGTCTGGAGAACTTGTTTTTAATCAGTGCAGTCTGGGAAAGAGTGATTATAAAGTTCTGAAATTGAGGCGTTGCTCCTGAGTGTTCTTTTTAGAACAAAATGTTTTCAAGCTCTTTCTTAGGGCTCTGGTTTTGTACTTGACTTCATAACATCCCTGGTGAGTGACACTCAGTAGTACCTCAAACCAGCCATTTCACATTCACCTGGGGTTCAACTGTACCAGATTTTGTGTGGCTAATGCTGCTTTCTGTGGCAAGGTGACTAACGACTTTGATTATTTAAATAGGATATCAAGCCAATGAGGGACCAGATTGTCAGGGTGAAGAGATATGAAAAAGTCCCACTCATCCTAGTGGGGAATAAAGTGGATCTGGAATCAGAAAGGGAGGTTTTGACTGCAGAAGGCAGAGCTTTGGCTCAGGAGTGGGGCTGCCCGTTCATGGAGACATCAGCCAAAAGTAAAACAATGGTGGACGAACTGTTTGCAGAAATCGTCAGGCAAATGAACTATGCATCTCTGCCTGAGAAACAAGATCAGTGTTGTACAACTTGCATCATCCAGTGAAGAAGCTAACCTCATTCATGACCATACAGAGCAGGTTAGTTAACGCTTACTCATTTGACCCACGTAAGTATGGTATTCCTTGACCACATCTAGCCAAGCCAACTAGAGCGTTGACTATTGCTGTGTAGAGGTCGCAGAGAAGGGGCTGGCCTGCTTTGGGAGAGAGGGAGTTTCCTCATCTGGGAATTCCATATGCTAATGAAGTCCTTGACTTTATGCGATACCCCACCTTGTAGCATCTTTTATTTTTCAAGATATGCTTCTACTTGCCCCTACTCCCTACATCCCTCAGGTAGTAACCTCAGACCAGCCATTTCACAATAACATGGGGTTATTGGTAAAATGATTTGTAAAATATGTCGTGTGAGTCGAAATATAGTCTAATTTATCCTTGATTTATTCAAACTGCACAGGTCAACCTTTTTTCTTTTAAAATATAATTCCAGAAGATGAGATGTGTATGTTTTTCAGATTTTAATATCCCGTGCTCTGGAGAAAGATGATAAGTAAATAGATTTCAATTATAGCATAAGTGTTTATGATTTAATAGGGTACTTATGTAATCAAATTCATGTGTACCTCCTACTTGAGGAATAAGCAATCTAATCTTTTATAATAGTAATGATTAGGTACCACCAAGTACCTTATCTTCAAATAGGAATATACAAGTTAGAGTATAAACAAGTATATGTATATCCACTTGTAGTCTAGCCAAACAATTGTTTGGCAGCAGCCAAAATCTTCCCAGGCACTGAAGATGTCTTAGTTCAGGGCTTAGTAAACAGCAAAGTAAATAATTTAGAAAGCCTTTGGAGTTAGAGAGTACACAGCTCAGAGTCCTTTTGGAAGGCGAGGTCTCAGAAGTGAATTTAATAGACGGCAGCATCCAACCAATGCCTTTTCGGTTGTCTCCTTTGTGTTTCAATCACCCTGAATGTTTTCTCTGGACTCACGCAGGTCCCAGCTATCAAACTGGCACCAAGCTAAGTTGATGGTAGCTAGGCACATGTTCTCGCTTGGATGTTAACATGTAGGTGATGGAAAACTGGGGTGCTTAACCCCATGGGCTGGCACGCAGCTAAGATGAGCCCTGTTATTGATCCCTTTGGAGCAGTGACTTGACACTGACCCCCGAGTCTCCAGAGCCATATTACAGATTGCAGCATCTTTCAGATAGTGGCTGTGGTTGTAATCGGAGGACAAGCTTTACATGTGTTCCCCCTACAAAGGACTGTCAGGCCACAAGTCATCTTCACAGCCACAGGCCTCCACCCAGATCACAGTTGCAGCCAAGTCACTTCATCTTTGAACAGGAAGACTGGTAGTGGTGCCATCTACGAAGTACTCTCATAAGGCTAGGTTTTTACATTATTATGTCGTGAAAACCCATTTATTTTCTATTCATTTCTTAATCTGGAGCCAAGACCTTGTTGGTTCATGTTGGGTCTGCATCAAACTCAAAAGGACAGTACAACAGGCATATGTAGAGGTGGTGGGTTGCCACATCCTTGCTCCCCAGTAAGCCAGCTTCAGCTCAGGCAGGTTCTGTGGTTAAAGATGAGCACATCTTTACCTTTGTATTGTAGTCTGCAGCTGACCCTGGATTAACTGAAGCAAATGATTTAAATATCCAGGTTTTTCTTCAGTTTCTTTTTATCATAAGATCATAGATTTAGAGCAAGAAAGGACCTCAGAGGCCGTCTAATCCAATCCCCTCATTTTACAGAGGAGGAAACTTTGGGGAAATGACATGTCCAACAAAGTCACTCAGGTACACAGAGATTTAGATCCAGGGTCACTTACACCAAATCAAGCCTTTTCCATCACACCACGTATAGGTTTATCAGCTTTGTAAAAGAATACAAAAAAAATACCAGCTCCTACAAACAAATGTTTTCCCAGTCTGCCTTATCCCAGTAAAGGTGCACTGACTAGGAAAAGGTGTGAAATTTGTCTCCTCTAGCATGGTTTTCATCGGCTTGGATAATTTCCAAGGTGATGATTTGTGTTAAAAATTGCTGGAGAGCTTATTTCTGTTTCTGTAAATATTCGTGAGATCCAAGAGTTGTTCAAACCACAATGTGGTTGCTGTTATCTAAAGCACCAAGGGGCTTCTTTGGCTAAGACCACTCAGCTCATCACTGGCAGATCTTGACCTAGAACTTGGATCTTGTTGACTTTGTCTGATATGTGAATTGTAGGATTGTAGCTTTAGAGCTGGAAAGGACCTTGGGGTCCATCTAAGCCAGCTCCCTTGTTTTACAGAGATAGAAATGGAAGCCAGGGCAGGGGAGGCAATTTAGCCTGTGGTTGGTCGCATAGGTAGTAAGTGCCCCAAGTGGGGTTAGAACCTGAGTCCCCTCATTTTAGATCCAGTGTTCTTTCTATTATAGTTTTTCGCCACTTTTTTTTACCTTTTCTGGGAATAAGTATCTCTTTCTTCATTGTTATTCTTTAGATGGTGAGTCAGTTGGGTATGGATCATGTGTAAGACTGCATAAAACATAGGCTTAGAAATAGATGTAGGTATCAGTAAATGTGCTCATTGCCCCAAATCGCTTATTTGATTAGTAGCAATTGCCTGCTTTGTTCATGATTTTGTTGCACATGAATGCCCAAGGGAAGAAGGTCTTGAAATACTGAGGGAGGTGAGATTTTGGAAGTACTGAATGGAGAGGAGAGCCTGGGAGCAAAGGGCTTCCAAACCAAAGCAGTTTGTGCCTCCTTCATTTTCAGGCCTGGGATGGATTCAACTGACTTCCATGGTAAAGGGAGCTCATGGGATGTTTGTTTCTCCTTTATCTGCTATGTAACTGATGTATTTTGAGATGTGTAGCATCAGTTATGGGACTTAGAAGTGTCAAATCCATTACAGAGGAAGAAAGGTCAAACTTTGTTATGCAGAAGTGATGGAAACCTTCTATAGGTTTAGGGGAAGGGCCTATTGAATTTAGCTAGATAACCCTGTTTGGGAGAAATCTGCAAAGCTTAGTATCATCCCTTTTATAATTGATAGTTTCCCCTCCTAATTGAGATGGAAATTTCATTAATGCTCTAAGAACTGCTTCTGATAACTCACCCTTTTTATTTCTTACTGCCTTTTTAATTGGCTTCATCTGTCTTTTGCCCAAGAGAATGTTTTTATAAGACACTCAACAGCTTTTTGTCTGCTTTGGGGAACTATATACGTGGCTCCTAGAACTGTTGACTCTCCCACCACTTTCCTGGGCTGGCAGACTTATTGGGCAGGACAGTGTTTGCTTTTCTGAGCATATATATAGAATTAGAGCCAAATTCAGCAATGCCTGCGTATCCTGTCTCCCTGCCAGCTTGAGGCAGCCTAGCATCCCATAGAGCAGGGGTTCTTAATCATTTTTGTGACCTGGGTATTCTTTGGCAGGCTGGTGAAACCTATAGCCCCCTTCTCTAAATAATGCTTCGTAGCCTACATTCACACATTGAAGGAAATGCTCAGTTTCAATTAAGGTTCTTGAAAATCAAGCTTCGGATATTTTTTCCCCCATCCAATTTCATGGACCCCTCTGAAAACTTACCAGAGAACCCCCTTGGGGATCCATAGACTCCAGGTTCAGAAACCCCTGCCATAAACCCTGTAGCAATGCTTTTAGAAACCTAGGTCAGTGTCACAGCCTCCCATTACCAACAGATCTTGGTTTTTTAATATATTTGGATTGTCTAAGCTTTTGTTTAACCACATTATGTCTTTCATCAGTGTGGATAATTGACAGCTGGCTGTGCTGACATACTACTGTTTGGTTATAATTATGTGAGCTACAGATGTGTTGAGAAGACTGTAGTGGAAGTCATGAGTCTGATTCCTTGTCCCTCACTGCCTCCCTCCACCCCATTCCTGTTCTATGCCAGAAGAATGGCCTATTCAGGTATTCTGCAGTCATTCCTCAAAGGGTAAAAATGCAGCAAACAAAGCCTTGAAAAATCACTATTTGGCCTTACTTCTAATCTTCTTAGCAGGCATTTTTAATTTGAAGAACCTCCGACTTGGTTCATATGGGCATTATTGTCCTCCCCCCTCCCCCCATCAATAAGGGTTGCAGTCTCCCTAATCCTGTGTCAATTGTGTCCATGCTTTCCCCCAAATTCATGTATCTACCCAGTGTACTGGAAACCTTTCTGATTCTTTGTGTGTGTGTGTGTGTGTGTGTGTGTGTGTGTGTGTGTGTGGGGCAATTGGGGGTAAGTCACTTGCCCCAAGTCAAACAGCTAGTAAGTGTTATGTGTCTGAGGCCGGATTTGAACTCAGGTCCACCTGACTTCAAGGCTAGTGCTCTATCCAGTGGGACACCTCGCTGCCCCAACCCTTCTGATTCTTTCAAGATGTGGTGGCAGGTACCACTCTGTTGTTTCTCATTTTTCACACCTATCTGTCCTCACTCCCTTTTCCAAGGTGAGACCACACATGCCCTCCACACCTTTCTCTACTTCTCACACACAGATCATTTTTGGTAATATGTTCCAGCCTGCTACTTACATTGATTTGTCTCATTGCTTTTTGAATTGCTTATCTTGGTTTTTTGGCCCCTAGGATTATTGGACACATACAACCACATTTTAAAAGATTCTTTTTCCTAAAACTCAAAAGCCTATGGAAGTGATTGTTGATAAATCAAAATAAATTAATTAAAAAAAATAAATCAAAAAAAGGATTCGTTTTCCTGGACTAGTTTAGCATTAAACAAAGTAGCATAAAACATTTTTAAAGGGGTTGGGGGTGGGGTAGGAAAGACCTATTCCAACTGGAATAAATTAGTGAGAATCCTAAACACCAGGAGTCAAGCTGATGGGGTGGTGGTCTTTTTATGCCGCCTCTCAGGTCTGTTACTTGTCATTCTGGTTTACTCCTAAGGGAGGGAACAAACCCTTCGTTCAAGCCGACATAGGGCGACCAGACATCGGCAATTTTGATAATAACAAAGCCTGTTGAGTGGTGCAGTGGTCTATGGAGTGATTCTCTGTTTTTTCATCTTAGTTAATCTAGCATACTATTTCTAAATA